CTCGGAGCCCTGAAAAGAAATTTGGAGAGTGAGAAAAGTAGTGAGAAAGAGGAATCATAGATGATTCCCAGGTTTATGCCATGGGCAAGATGATATATAGGTCATTTTGTTTGCAATCTTTTGAAATGTAAATCCTTAGAGAAACAGACACAAATTACTTTCAATGTAAGGACAATCTATCATTGAGTTTGTACATATTTGAAGGAGGGAAAGAAAATGTAGGAAGATGTCATATACATGAACACTACTTGAACTGTAAAATACCTTTTTCACAAAGACACAAAGTTTTGCCATGGTAGTTTTCAAAACTGCTATTTATGGACCAGAAAGACTACCCAATGGGGAAGGTACATGCCATGCAAGCATGAATATCTGAATTCAGATCCCCAGCACTCACATCAAAAACCAAACATAGTGACTTTCTTCTGTAGTCATAACTCTTGAGAAGCAGAGACAAAAAGATCCATAGGGCTTTTTGTAGCAAAGTTGGCAAGCTCCAGGTTAACTAAGAGACTCTGCTTCAAAAACATGCAGGAGATGGATTGAGGAAGACTCAGCATATTCTTTGCTCACTGTATGCTCAAGCATGGGCCAGGGAGTGCATGTGAGTGTGTGCATGAACACACATAAGCAAATATCATTTATTCCCTTTGAAAAAGACTCCAGAATTCACCAATTTACATTCCAACTTCCGTCAATTTTACTTATAAAGCAGGTAACAGCCAATTTTAATTTAATTTTGTTCAAATATTTATTTTTGAGCAATTCATTTTAATGGACAGATGCTGTATGAAGCAAAGAGTATGCATGCATAGTTTAGAATGAAAACTAGAAAGGACAGGAACTTTTATCAGCTTGAGCTCCTCAATGCATGAGCTGTGGTTGTTTCCTTTAAGACACAGACACCATCATCTGTTTACTACAAGTCTTTTCTGTGAATGAATTAATTGGCTTGTGTATATATTTTGGAACTTTCACATTTCTAATGATGTTTAGCCATGCATCACTGTCTTAATATGGGTTACTATAGCTATGATGAAACACAATGATCAAAGCAACTTGGAGAGGAAGGGTTTATTTGGTTTACAGTTCCCTATCACTGTTCATCATTGAAGGAAGCCAGGACAAGAACCCAAACAGGGCAGAAACCTGGAGGCACGAGGTGATGTAAAGGTCATAGAAGGATGCTGCCTATTGGCTTGCTTCTCATGGCTTGCTCAGCCTGCTTTCTTATAGAACCTAGGACCACCAGCCCAGAGTGTCACCACCCACAATGGGTTGGACCCTCCCACAGAAATCGCTAATTAAGAAAATGCCTTACTGGCTTACCTACAGCCTGATTTATGAAGGCATTTTTTTCAGCTGAGGCTCCCTCCTCTCAAATGACATTAGCTTATGTCAAGTTAGCATTAAATGATCCAGCACTGAAGGAAATGTAATATTTTCCCTCTGTTGGGGATTTTTAGGCCCATAAACAAACCAAACTTTAGTCAATCTAAGTAATCATTTTCTTAATGATTTTCCCCGTTTTTTCTCAGCCACAGGGGAACAAGAGGCTTTGGTCTATTTAGAAATTTATTTTCCAATTTGTTATTCAAATTTTGTGATGAATGTTTCTCAAGATTTGATTCTCACTTTTTAGTTTTCTTTCCTTTTTCTTCTTATTGTTCCTTATTTGTTGTCCATGATATTTCTGTATTACGTATGTAGGATAAAATCTAAAGTGGCATATCATATTCAGTATTTTTTAAGATTCCTTGAGCAGCAGTTCTGACAGGCAGTGTAAAGGACACATAGGATGCTACCTCGATGTTTGATTTATCAATGACCCATTAGCTTATGTTGTTTAGAATCTGCTGTATCACGATGAATTTTATAAATACAAGCATGCATACACACAGATAATGACCATTCATCACCCCCAGCCAGAGTGCTTTGCCAAGCTCTATTTTCAAGGTTAATCAGAAGATAGAGGAAAAACAGCTCAACAACACTGGAATCTTTTAAAACAATAATTTAAGAAAAAAAACAGGTTAAATCTGGCTGAGATAACAAAGGATGTTGTTTAAAGGGCTTATTTGCTTAGAATGTTGACCTCTGGAGCATCCTAGACACCTTCCTGAGGGCAGAATCCTCTCATTATGCATGTCAAAAGCTCATTAATGATAGAGCAAAAAGAAGATACATTACAAAGTCAAAAAGGTGAGCTAGGTAAGGCCTCAGCTAGCTAAGTGCACAACTTCTGATTTATGGATTTTGTGCTTGTTTCCTGTAAATGCATTGAGTCCCACAGTGGAAGGTGCTCCCTGCAGAGGAGAACCTGGTCCTGTACAGCCATAGCATACTGACTGGGAAGAATAAGACAGTAAAAGACCGACTGGATGTTTACAGCTTTCTGCGGTTAGAGTTTTCCATAGAGCAATCAGAAGGACACACAATCCTGCCCCACCCCACCCCACCCCCTTTTTTTTAAGAAGTAAGGCAATCAGCTAGAATTCTCATGCAGTTAAGAGATAGTGTTGAGGAAGATTAAGAACAAAAGCTTCTTGCTGTTCCTTTGAGACAGGGTCTCACTATGTGGATGTGGCTGGACTGGAACTCACTGTGCAGACCATGCTGGCCTCTAACTCACATAGATCTGCCTGCAGTTGCCTCCCAGGTGCTGGCATGAGATGTGTGCCACCAGTCCTGGCAACAAAACCTCTTATCCAGAAGATTCTATGGGCCAGTGGGATGTTTCAGTGCCTAGCCACAAGCCTGATAACCTGAGTTCAGTTTCTGGAACTCATGTGGTAAAAGAGAGATGACTCCTGCAAGTTACCCTTTGATATCCAAACATGCAGTATGACATGTGCCCTATGAATAACAATGAATAAATAAATAAATATGACAAGGGTCTTTTAAAAGGACATATTTAGAATGATATTAGTTGGAACTTATATATAATGATGTATGCTGCATTCATACATATATTTCCAACTTGGAGATGTTAGTGATAATGAGATCCATTCCATTTATTCTTTATTTAAAATAGTAAGGGATATTGGATGTTTTATGATATGAATACTGACCTAAAACGTGGTATAAAATTGAATTAAACCAATTGAATATATTCTCTATGTAAAGATAGAAGCAAGCAAGGGATATAGGCAAATGACAGAGGGTATGGAGCATACTTCATAACTCCTCAGACCATTATTCCCACTTTGGATCCACAAATTCTATCTCCAAGGACTCCTGACATCTACTTATAGCCTTTACACACATGTACAAAGACACACTCATACTACATGCTTATGCCCACACAGAGTCATATAAATGAAATGGATCTTAAAAACTCAATAAACTTTTAAATGACAAAAAGGCAAGCTCATGCCTGTGTTTTATAGAATTAGAAAGTCACTGAAAATAAGGGCTGGAAAAACACTGGGTGCTAACGGTTATGGCTGAGCTCTCAGCACAGAAAGAACTCCTCTGCATTACTCACATGCATAGCATAGGAATAGCACTAATAATTCTCTTAGATAAGTGCTTCATTGCCCAATTAAGAGATATAGAAATTGAGACAGAGAAGTTAAGCTAATTGGTTAGTTTCTGCATAGCCATTATAGTCCTCTGCCATTGGTGAAGTCCTATACTTGTTACTGCTAACTCATATAAAAAGAAAAGACCACAGGCATATCAAATTTAACAGATGCATCCTTGATAAAACTAGATCATTTTAATTCCTGTCTGAATCAACAAAGTACTGATTTAAAAAAAAACACCTGTTTTCTTAATTATACTGCTGTAAAAATGAAATAGATTAATTATTGAAATTCATAAGAACGATTGGAAACACAGCGAGTCAACAACAGTTCTCTGAACCTGGTCTATGAAGTTAGTATTCTGTGAGTGTCTGGAAAGCAGAGATGAAGTGTGAGATAGAGCAGACGGTGTGAAAACAGCCAAGAAGGATTAAAATGGCGCTACAGGTTAAGACAGGGGTTACACATTTAGGCATCACCACCACAGAGGTGATAACTAGAACGGTTCACAAGCTGAGATGATTTGTTGTCAAAATAAATGCCGTTGCACAGTCAAAACTCTACCCAAAGCATACACCAATGGGGAAGTGACTGTGAACACCACAGTCAGTTGAAAATCCTAAGTAATGTCAAGGCCGATAGACCAAAATGAGAAATAGTTTTAAGCAAGAGGCAGGTGTGACCCACATGGCCATCTGTAGATGTAGTGCACATCTGTCAAGCTAAATGAACAATGAAGTCTGAAAGTTCCTAGAGTCTCAACACCAGCAAAGCCAACTTGAGGGCACAAACCATTTCCAAGCCCAAGTTACCTTTGTTTATATAAGTTTATAATTTGTCATGTTTATTAAATATATTTTCATAACTGTTAGACAAAAATATAACATTGTACTCATGGGGTACCATATGAAGATATTTTGAGATATATTTATAGATTTACACACATTGTTCAATATATCAGGCTAACACCATATTTTTTATGAAATAATTCAAAATCATTTCCTTGTTCTTTTGGAAATAATATACTCTATTATTATAATTTTGAATATAAATTCACAGGAAGAAAATAAAACTCTAATATTTTAAATGGTAAATTTAAAAATTCCTAGATATAATTTTAGATTAAATTTTAGTGGAATTGTCTCTGTAGTAGCTTCTTTGGGTTTCCTGGAGCTTGGTATATTCTGGTGATATACTCTTGTGCATCACAAAGTGTGGTGGCCACATCTTCATGGTGGAATTAAGTCTCAGTTCTAATTACTTAAATTGAATTAAACCTCTTCTAAGGTGACATTCAATGGAAGTCCTGGGTATGTTGTACATTTACTGAAATTAGTTATATGCTGCTAATAAGCATATACTTTGAAATTTTTTATAAATGCAAATAGAGTGTTTATAAGTTCTTTTTATCCTTTATTATTAATAGCTTGGTTTTTCTAAACTTTTAAATAAGTGTCTATTTCCCTCATCTAGGGTGGAGTTAATGGATTGACTGGAGAGCTAGAATTTGGAGAAAATGGAGGGAACCCCAATGTACACTTCGAAATCCTTGGAACCAACTATGGAGAAGAACTTGGCAGAGGTGTCCGTAAAGTAAGCCTAGACTTGTTATAAATTGTTTTCTCTTTAATATTGTGGTTTTGCCATACAATTTTCTGCAGTATGATCACAGTATCATTAAAGTGCATGTGTTCCAAAAGAGAATGTGAGAGGAAATTAGGAAGGGAGGACTCAGCTTAGACTTGAAAGGTCAGGGGCTTGGAGTACTTTTAGATATGTAAGAAGTATGGAACATTAGATTCATACTTTAGAATGATATAAAAGGCCAGGTGGTGGTGACACAAGGCTTTAACCCCATCACTTGGGAGGCAGAGGCAAGTGGATCTCTGTGAGTTCGAGGCCAGCCTGGTCTACAGAGTGAGTTCCAGGTCAGTCAGGACTACCAGAGAAACCCTGTTTCAAAAAACCAATAATAATAATAATAATAATAATAATAATAATAATAATAATAAATATAAAGAAGAAAAAATAGTGTAGTACTTGCCCAGGTAAATGGTATCACATTTCACTCACTATAATACTGCTTTTATAAAATGCTAAATTCAATACTTAGACAAAGCACATCTGTTTGATTTTTTTCGTTTGTAACATGCACAAAATCAGAATAAATATTTGGATAAGTTTAATATGGTAATATTGAAAGTCAGCTATAGAAGGTGACATTATAGTAGAATATTGTGTGTGGCCTGTAGTCAGGAGAGGATACTTACAGGAAATGATCCTTAGTAAATTTTGCAGATCATAGAATGAGGCAGATAAGTACCAATATGCTTGGGGTTTTTTTTTTTTTTTTTTTTTTTGACAGAATATCATGACTTTTGCTCTTGAAGGGAGAAATACAAAAGTCTTTGGAGAAATGATTCATTTTGTACTTTGAACTTGCCATTTTTACACATTTTTAGGGAAAAACTGATGGGGAATTTGTATACAGAACCAGTAAGTATAATGGTCTTGTTGTTTGAGGTTGACTGTGTTGAGAATGTCTGGTTCTGGACACACTTCCTTCCTGTGCTGACACGTGTCAGGCAAACAGTCAAGTAAGGCATTGTCATTACTGGAAATAAGTCCTTGGTAAATTTAAGCTGTGTTAAACTATCTTGGTACACTTTAATCTTTGTTTGATGGTGGAGATTCTAACATACAGAAAATGGTGTAAACACAGAATGCTATAGTGAACTGTTGGAAAGGAAACCATCCCTGCTGTGGTCAAAAAGAAAAGCAGGTCCAGGAAACACCATCAAGTGCTCCCTAAATGGCAAGCCTGATCACAGGAGTGGACCCATTAGTCTGAATTTAATGTGACCACTGGGCTATATTTTAACTTACTTGATCACCTTAGGAAGTAAAATTTGCCAGTATTCAGACTTGTATTGAGTCTCCCATATTATCTTTCTAGATTCTAGAATTCTATCTTGTTTGTCTTAATTCATCCTTGCTGGAGCATGTAGTAGAAATTCATTAATCTATATTGTTGCATTTTTTCTATTATGTGAATGTGCCAGGATTTATTACACTGTTTCCGTTTTAGACTGCTATCAGTAAGGCAGTTGTAATGTTCTTACACATATTTATTGGTTGTACTTGTGCATAAATTTTTGTGTGCGTGGAAGAGTAGAATTGTAATATACAAATGTATGCCTTAGACATTCCTGGATAGTATCAAACCCCTTTATTGAAATGTACCAATTTTCACTTTCCCCACCAGTATAAAGTAAGTTCTTGATGCCACATGACCCAGCATCCTGATTTGTCAGACTTCTAAGCTTCTGTTAATTTCTTGAGATAGTCATATATCTTCATGGTCTCAGTTTAAATTATCTGACTATAAAACATTCTGCTTTCTATTATAGGCATCTCATTTTCTCTTTTACTCCATGTCCCTTTCAAGTTTTGGTTTTTTTTTTTCCTCTCTTGTTGCTGTCCTTTGGGAAGGTAGAGGTGTCATTTGTTTTTTAGAAATGATACTTGGAGATGTATGGAGATACATGTGAACACACCAAAGATTTGTCCTTTGCTACTTAATTAAATTACAAGAATTACGTTCTTCCCTGAGGATTTGGTTTTCATAACATTCTTAGCATATTTAAATTTGCTTCTGTTATGAATATTTTTCTATGATTGTTGATGTTTATTCTTATTCAAACATCATTCTGTACTCTAGTTATGGATCAGTCAGGTATCTTGCAAATGTTTGTATGGTTCTGCCTTTTTTGCTCAAGTCTTTTGACACCCAACTAAATTTTTTGAATATGTGGTATAAGAAAAAATGAAATTCCATTCTTCAAGTGCTATTATGTTTGCAGTTGTTTTAAAATATGATTTAAATGCAATTGCCCCACAATATCAAGTGTATTATGCATTTTGATAATTATATTTACCAAGGTGATCTCCTCCTAGATGGAGTTAGAAGGCATTTTTGTCACCCAGATCATGGTCTCATCCTCACTTCCATTCTTATGACAGAGACATTATGCTTAGTCTGAAAGTTTATGTACACAGAAATGGATAATGTGAATACATAGTCATTTGTACCTACTTCCCTTAATGTAACTTTATGACATATCCTTAATATCATTTAGAAATATTTTGGGAATTTATTTGAGAAAGTTGCCATTTATTTTATATTCTATAACTAAAAAATTATGCATTTTAAATTTCTTTTTCTGTGTATTGCTAACCCATTAAAATCACAGTGATATTCCAATTGAGTTTTATATACACCTTTCTTGTTCAGCTTTTTAATTCTTAAATCACTTGGAGATTATTGTTCACTTCCTCCAGAATGTCCTATCATATGCATTTAATAATAGTTGTTACCTCTTTTTTGTAGTTTTACATCAATTATTTTTTTCTTGTGTTAG